AGAGACAGAAAGTGAGAAATCACCCCCCAGGGGGGATGGCCACGCGGCAATCTCTTCTCCTCCATTCTCCTCTTGGGATCTTGGGCACGCATGCACACGCACCTGGTGTCAGAGAGAGAAAGAGAGAGAGAGAGAGAGAGAGAGAGAGAGACACTCTCAACGAGAGCTTGACATACTGTGATTCTCTCTCCCCAGCCCTTCAGCTCTGCCCTCATGTGTGGTTAATATAGTTATTATGGGAATAGGTTAGTTATAAAAGTGAGTTCAGCCCTCTCTTCACTCTCACTCTCACCCTTTCTTGCCCTTTCACCTTCTACCATGGGGCTGATATATACCAAAAAGGCCCTCACAAAGGCTGGTGCCATGCTCTTGTACTCTGCAGCCTCTAGACCATGAGCCAGATAAATTTTGGTTGTTATTGTTGTTTTAGAGGAATTTTTGTTATAGGGTACCTGTGCTTGCTAGAGAGACAGAGAGAGACTGAAAGTAAGAAATCACCCCCTGAGGGGATGACCACGCGGCAATCTCTTCTCCTCCATTCTCCTCTTGGGATCTTGGGCACGCATGCACACGCACCTGGTGTGAGTTTTAAGTCACTGGGTCTGGGATGTGAACTGCGATCGACTACATGGGAGTCCAGCGACACAGCCATTATGCTAACTGCTGGTCCCTTTTTTTATTTAAGTTTTTGTTTGTTTGTTTTGCCAGAGTGCACATGCACTCATGAAAGAGAGACAGAGAGGACATAAGAAAGCATCCCTGAGTGGCAGTAACACTTCCATCCCTTCTCTTTATCTCCTGCCTCTGGGGTTTGGGGTACCCACAAACACATACCTACCATGTTTCCCAAGCCTCTGGGCTAGGGAGTTGAACTGACAGTTGGCCATGTGGGATCCAGCTGCCCTAACCACTGGCTGGCCTATCTCAGATTTTTCAGAACTGATTTTGTTAATGGGCTCTTCGCCATTGAGGAAAAAAAAAATTAATGTAGCAAAAAAAATAAATAAAGTTTTCTTTTTTTTTTGCCTTAGGGTGTGTGTATTTACCAGAGAGAGAGAGACAGACGTAGACAGTGGGGAAAAGTGAGAAATGACCCACTAGGAGGATGGCCAAGCCACAACCCTTACTCCTCCATTCTCCTGGGATCTTGAGCACACACACACGTGCGCCTGGTGTGATTTTCAAGCCACCAGGTCCAGGATTTGAACCATGTGGGAGCCTACACCATCTGCTGGTCCCAATGTAGCAACGTTTGGCATTTCTTTGTTTACTTCTGGATTTTGTTCCATAGATAGAAGTCCTTTCCCACTTGGAACATATATGTATATACATAGTAGGTTTTTGGAAAAGTCATGATGCATTTCTGCAAAGAAAAACAGGGAAAAAATACATCAGGACTTTTCTGACAACCATAACAATATGTATTCGTATACCATACGCTGCACCTATATATAACAGAGACAGAAAGAGAGAGAACTTGAGAAGCACCCCTCATGGTCACGCCCCAATCCCTGCTCCTCCATTCCTTCCTCCTGGGATTTGGCGTTTCTCAAGTTGCTGAGTTTGAGACTCAAATAGCGTGGCTGGCCATGCGGGATCCAGCTGCCTTAGCCACCATGTCACTTGCTGGTCTCTGTAGTTTCATTTTAATTTTCTTTTTTAAAAGTGATTTTTGGTTTGGGGCTGGAAGATGGCATGGTAGTTAAGGCACTGAATCCCCACATGGGCAACTGGAGTTCAAGTCCTAGACCTGGTGACTTGGTTTCTCACTTTCCCTCTCTCTGGTCATATCAATACAAATAGTAATAATGATGATGTAGAATAAAATTAAATTAAATTCATCTTCTTTTTTATAGGGAAACCTTGCTATAGGGTATGTGCACTCACAAGAGAGACAGAAAGACAATGAGATAGAAAGCGAAAAATCACACCCCAGGGATGATGGAGAAATCACCCCCCCCCAGGGATGATGACCACATTGCAATCCCTTCTCCTCCATTCTCTGATCATGATTTTGGGCATGCACACACACATGCCTGGTGTGAGTTTCAAGCCTCTGGGTCCAGGACTTGAACCACGGTTGGCCATGTGGGAGTCCAGCAAAGTAACCATGCCTCACGTGGAAAATGCTGTGCTGTTACTGGCGCGTTATTTAGTTGAGCTATGGCAGTTCTGTCTCTGCTGAATCTGCTGAATGTGTACAGACCTGCTTTTCTTTTTCTTTTTTCCTTTTATGGAGAGGTTTTCACTATAGGGCACATATGCTCGCCAGACAGACAGAGAGAGACATAGAGACAGAAAGCGAGAAATCATCCCTCAGAGGGGATGGTCACGCCACAATCCCCTCTCCTTCATTCTCCTCTCGGGATCTTGGGCACACATGCACACACACTCGGCGTGAGTTTTAAGCCACCAGGTCCGGGACATGAACCGCGGTCGACTACATGGGAGTCCAGTGACATAGCCATTACGCTAACTGCTGGTCCTCAGACCTGCTTTTCTTGTCCCCATTCCCTGACCAATACATGGTAACAAACTGCTTATGTGGGATTTACACTGTGTTCGGTATTACAAGCAGTCTTGAGAAGATGAGAGCAGAGATTCGCAACCCCTGGGCTATGGACTGGTGCCCCAAACACCCCACGCAGCAGAGAGTGGGTGGGGAGTGACTGAGAGAGCAAGGCTTCCTCTGTGTCTGCAGCCACCCCCATGGCTTGTACCGCCCCCGTCTGGTCAGCGATGGTACTGGGGTCTCGCGGGCGGGCAAGCCCCGCTGTTGTGTGTTTGCTTCCTTGGTAGGCA